AGATTTTATTTATTTATTTGAGACAGAGAGAATGAGAGACAGAGAGCATGAGAGGGAGGAGGGTCAGAGGGAGAAGCAGACTCCCTGCCGAGCAGGGAGCCCGATGCGGGACTCGATCCCGGGACTCCAGGATCATGACCTGAGCCGAAGGCAGTCACTTAACCAACTGAGCCACCCAGGCGCCCTAAAGTTTTTTATCTAAATGTAGGTCTCCAACTCCAAAATTCATATGACTTTCACTACTTCAGGCCAAATAACTGAAAGAAAGCAAGCAGTTGTGGTCTGCAGTGAGGACTATCATTTAGGAATAACTAGATGGAGGAGGGAGGAAAGAGGAAAAGGGGGTGAAAAAGGCAGATAGGTACTAAATGAGCAAGATGGCTGCCCTTCAAGGGGTAAAAGCAGGGCAAGAGTTAAAAGGTGGTCATTGTGAATGCGGGTCTCCTATACCTATATATGCGTGTATTTTGAGGGAAATAGAATTTTTAAAGAATATTTTATGTATGTATGTACGTATTTATTTATGTGAGAGGGGGTGGGGGAGAGCACGAGCAGAGGGGAGAGGCAGAGGGAGAGGGAGAGGGTGAAGCAGACTCCCCGCTGAGCAGGGAGCCTGACTCAGGGCTCAATCCCAGGACCCTGGGACCATGACCTGAGCCCAAGGCAGACACTTAACTGAGCCACCCAGGCACCCCAAGGGAAATAGAATTTTTTAAAAAAGTTACGCATATAAAGTTTTATCACCATAAAACTGAAAGGCAATAAATGAATCTAAAAAGAAAACCCATAAAAGGTGCTCCAAAGTATGAGATATATATGCATGCATAGTCAGATTTACAGACACACTGAATAAACAAAACCACAAGGGGCACCAACAAGGATATGTCTTATGCCCTAAAAGCCATCTTTTACAGGAGGTTTTACCCATACAGAGATAAAAAGTAAAACATTGATATCCAGGCTCCCAAAAAATACAATTTTGGAGATAGTAAATTTTTTTTTTTTTTAAGATTTTATTTATTTATTCATGAGAGATAGAGAGAGAGAAAGGCAGAGGGAGAAGCAGGCTCCCCGCGGAACGGGAAGCCCGATGCGGGACTCGATCCCAGGACCCTGGGATCATGACCTGAGCTGATGGCAGACGCTTAACCGACTGAGCCACCCAGGTGTCCCTGGAGATAGTAAATTTTAAATGACATTAATAATTGACTGAGTCTTAGGCTAAATTTTACTTCCTTATTTTAATATGTTCAACTCAGTTGGTATGTATTTTTTTAAACCCTCAAATGACTTATGGATACCTCAGAGTAACTGGATTTATTCCTATGAATAGAAAATGTTATGTCCTAGCAATAATCCTGTATAATTAATGCTTTCTTCCATCTCTAAAAGATGTGTTCTTTTAAGTGATTAAGGACTGTAAGTATGGAGAATTCTTTGGCTAATAACACTATAACAATGTGAAGAGCATGAAAATTAAGTTGCTAAAATGTCAGAAAATAGAAATTATTAATCCCATGTGTCTCATTCCATGTCCAACAGCAAATATCCCACAGCTTATATCCAAGTAAGTCCCAACGACTCATACAAAAGCAAAACAACCCAAGAGCGAAAATACCCAACAAACAAAAACAACCTAAGAGTGAAGCATGTACACCACACATTCTCAATGAGCTCAAAAACACGTCATTTTCCTTTTCATTTCACATTTTAATTTCTACCCGCATGATTCCCAGGGAACAGAGTGCTGTGTTTGTCAGCTCTGCATTCACTGAAAAATCCAGCGTCATCTAGTCATCTGGCCACTTACGTTAGTGGTGCTGAAACTGGATGCCAGGGATTAGTCAGCATTAGAAAATAACGCAGAGTGCGTACCGGGGAGAACCCGAAGGAGGACATGAGCACTTTCTGTCACTGCTGGCCATGTGGCTATTTGCTACCTATAATGTACTTTAAAAAAATGCTATCCTTTCCCCCCCCCGTCGCCCCAGAAGCCTGTTAGGAATCCACCTCCGGAGCCCAGCTCGGTGCCCTACTCAGAAGCGTTTACTGACACAGCTCAGCTCATGACAGAAAACGTTTCCTTCCTTTGTCATAAGGCTCTGCTAAGAACCTCATTCATTCATTCATTCATTCATTCATTCATTCATCATTCATTCATTCATTCATTCATTCATTCATTCAACACTGAGTTCCTACCATGTGCCAGGCCTGTTTTAGGCCCCTCGGATGCTGCAGCGAACAGAACAATAGCTAACCCGCCACAGTTCCGGGCGATCCGCAATTGTTACTCACGAGCTCAACAAAACACACACGCGTGTCGGCCCTGGAGGCGCTACTAACGTTGGGGTAGAAGCGACGGGGGGGGAATCGAGACGAACCACAGACGAAGACACAGCGGGTTCCACAGCACGTGGGGTGGTGCGAGCTGGAGACGTAAACGCGGCGGTTCAGACAGGCCTCCCTGAGGGCCCCGCGTGCCCTCGGAGAAGCCGGTCCCGCCCCGGACCGTCGGGAAGGACGCGCGACGGAAGCCTCCCCGGCCCGACCGCCGGCCCGCGACCCGCCGCCCACCGCCACCGTGAGGAGCTCGCGCGCGCGCCGCCCCCGCCGCCGGGACTTCCGGCGGCCGGACGCACTTCCGGCGCCGCTCTAGCCTCGCGGCAAGGCCCCGCCTCGGTGGCTGCTCCGAGCCGCTGGAAGGGCGCGGCCGGCTGGGCCCGGAGGGCCACGTGGTCGCGTTCTCGCGGCCCGCCTTGCGTGTCCCTGCGGAAGCCGGCGCTCCGCACGCCTTGCGCCCGCGGGTCGACCCCCGTCCCGGCGGTGGTTATGCGCCTGGACCCACCTCCCTTTGACTGAAATTCGGACACTCTCCTTACAAGGTTGTTGGCCGCCTTGACCGGACTCGTTATGCGTGGGCCTGGCGTAAGTAAGAGCTTCCGTGCGTGTTTGCCGGATAAAAACCGTGCCTTTTCCCTGCTGGCCTGGGCCTCCTCCGTCCTGCCTTTGACCACCGACCGGCCTGGGCCCAGGACGAAGCTGGAGGAGGAAAGCCACGTGGTAAGCGTGGGGAGAAGACCGTTTCCCTTGCACAGGACTGGAAGGCCGTTGTGGGAACAGAGCTAGCGTCTGACCGCAGAAAGCAGCACCGGGCAGGAGGTGTCTGAAGAAACGGCCCGGTATCGTCAGGCATCCGGACTCCCGAAAGGATCAGTGTCCCGCGCTGTGCTCAGAAAAACACCAGGTCCTCCCCCGGCGGCCCCAAGGCTGTTTGAGGGGGCGCCTGGGTGGCTCAGTGGTTGAGCACCTGCCTTCCGCCCAGGTCGTGATCTCGGGGTCGTGGGATCGAGCCCCGCATCGGGCACCCTGCTCCGCGGGAGGCCTGCTTCTCCCTCTCCCACTCCCCCGCTTGTGTTCCCCCTCTCACTGTGTCTCTGTCAAATAAATAAATAAAATCTTTAAAAAAACAAAACAAAGGCTGTTTGAGGATCTAAGAAATAGGTACTTCCAGATGCACCTCTTAGGGCTGACATTAAGCCACACGGGCAGCTGTTGCAATGGGACCATCTCTGCTGCCAGTGAACATCCAAGATCCAAAGGAAGGGTCTTGCCTGTAGGAAATATGAGTGGGCACAACTATTGATTCTTTTTCCTCCTCCTCTTCTCCTGCCTCTTCTCTCTCCTCCCTCTTTCTGTTGTTAATATACCCTACTGAGAAAACCAACTGCCCACATAAAAACCTTGTGGGGTATTAAGTTCAATAATGGTGGGGACATGGAGTCAGAGGATGACAGTTTCAGTCCTTTATTTCCTGGTCAAGAGAATGCAGCCTAAGGAATCAGGTAGTACATTTAAAAAGCTAGAAATGTACCAGAATTTCAACCAAGAAAACTTGTATTTCCTACTTCCATTTCTTGCCAGTTTCCTTCATTTCAACAGGAGTCTCTCAACTTCAGCACTATTGACACTGTGGGCTGAATAATTTTGTTGTGAGAGGCTGTCCTGTGCAATGTAGGATTAACAGCATTCCTAACCTCCACTCACTAGATTCCAGTAGCTCCTTCCTCTCCCCTCCCAACCACTAATCTGCCCCTCCCCACTGACCCCCACCCCCACCCCCCACCCCCCACCCCCCGCCTCCTTGCCAGCTATGAAACCACAAGTCTCGACATGGTTAAATGTTTCCTGGGGGACAAAATCACCCTGGTTGAGAAGTACTTGATTTAAACTAAGCCTATTTAAGATATTTGTTTTTTTTTTTTTTTAAAGATTTTATTTATTTATTTGAGAGAGAGAGAATGAGAGAGAGCACATGAGAGGGGGGAGGGTCAGAGGGAGAAGCAGACTCCCCGCTGAGCAGGGAGCCCGATGTGGGACTCGATCCCAGGACTCCAGGATCATGACCTGAGCTGAAGGCAGTTGCTTAACCAACTGAGCCACCCAGGCGCCCTATTTAAGATATTTGAAAACACTTTGAAAGACCTTGTTCATCTAGTCTTTTCCGATTTGCATCTCATGGCAACTCCTAGCCCCCAACCAGTCCAAACAGCCCTTTTCCCCTGACCTTTCAGAATCTCATAGTCCATGTGAAATCTAAGTTACAGGTTGCCTGGGTGGCTCAGTCGGTTGAGCCTCCAACTTGGTTTCAGCTGGAGTCATGATCTCGGGTCCTTGGATCAAGTGCCACCCTGCAGTGCAGAGTCAGCTCTTCCCTCTCCCTCTGCCCGTGGCCCCCATCCTGTGCATGCACACTCCTGCAATCTCTCAAATAAATAAATGAATGAATAATCTTTAAGAATTAAAAAGACTGGGCACCTGGGTGGCTCGGTTAAGCGACTGCTTTCGGCTCAGGTCATGATCCTGGAGTCCCTGGATCCAGTCCCACACTGGGCTCCCTGCTCGGCGGGGAGCCTGCTTCTCCCTCTGACCCTCCCCCCTCTCATGTGCTCTCTCTCTCTCATCCTCTCTGTCTCAAATAAACAAATAAAATCTTAAAAAAAAAAAGAATTAAAAAGACTTTGGGGTGCCTGGGTGGTTCAGTCATTTAAGCATCTGCCTTGGGCTCAGGTCATGATCTCAGGGTCTTGGGATCAAGCCCTGCACTGGGCTCCCTGCTCAGCGGGGCATCTGCTTCTCCCTCTCCTTCTGAACTCTCCCCTGCTTGTGCGTATGCACGCTCTCTCTCAAATAAAATCTTAATTTTTAAAAAAGAATTTAAAAGGACTTTTTAAAAAAGAAATCTAAGTTACCTCATTTTTAGCATGAAGTCTAATGATGTATCACCACTCTACCTCTTCTGTTATGGCTGACAGCATTGCCCAAGCATTACTGTCCTTTCCTCCAAACAAGGGAAGGCTCTTATGATGAGACATCATTATTCTATTTTGTAGGGTAAAAACAGTAGAAAGACACTACTGAATAAAATGTCAGGGCTCCAGGTCATGGATTTCCTTCATACCTACAGACCAGTGAAGAAAACTGTATCATGAAGGGATGTATGGAGTGAGGGGGAGTTGGTCATTTGTACATGATGGCAGTGGCTCCATAGGTATTCTTGAGGTTTTAAGTTCTCTCTTCCCAATTAGTAAGTGCCCTGGAGGTTAGAAGATCATGTTTTTCTACCTGGCTTTTGCATTTAACAAATGCTTGACCCAGCACAATGGACCTATCAAAGTTGATTGACAAAACAGTACTTCTTTGAGATGGATTTGGCAGAAGGAAGCTGAACAATAAAATGTAAAGACTGAGGGTTCAAAATATTGATGTCTAATTTGGAGGGGGTTAGGAGATTATCTGGTACAACATTCTCTAAATTATTTTGAATGTGACCTATAAAAATGATAACTTTACAAATGACAGTTACACACACAAATACAGAATACTGGAACAAAAGTATTGTGAAACGGTACTGTCATTATGAGTGAATTCTGGTATTTTCTGTTCTAAATGCTTCCATTTCATTTTTTGGAAAACCCCCTAATGGAGTATAATGACAGCTGCTTCAATCTGTGTCACCAAACATCCTCCAAAAACAATGTAGAATAAGGAAAACAAAACTAAACAAAAACTATGCCTTCAAAATACCAGAAGACAGAAAATGCCTAAACTTTAAATTACCTGGAATACAAAGTGAGAAAACACCAGAATCCCCCTATAGCAAGTCTTTGTGGTGGGAAACAGTCTGAGAAAGTCCTAGAAGAGAGAAGAGGGGAACTAGTAGTGGCCCTAAAAATTGCTCTAAAATCACCACCAGAAGGAGGGAGTCTATCCTAAGTGTGAAAATTGGGAAAAATATACTAGGAGATGAGAACACTAAGAAAGGGACTTAAAAGGGTATGTAATTCACGGTGGCAGTCTTCAAAAGACATACTTTGGCAGGGAGGGGAGTAAAGAAAAAAAAAAAGAAGTACTTTTTGGGAAACGTGTAGTGAAAGGGATATAGAGTGAAAGAGGAAAAGTTTTAGATTCCTGCAAGACATATACACATAAAGAATCTCAAAACCAGTAATCACAGAGTCCGCATAATATAATCCACTAAAGAAACTGGATTTTGTTACACAGACAGAAGGGACCATTGAATAAGGAATCCAGCACACACCCTAAGTTTATAAATAGGAAAAAACATGGAAAAGTCTAGGAAAAGGTACTACATGGAAAGAGAAAATCAGAACCAATGCACCTCAACTAGTAAGAATCACCTAGACCACTCCCCCAAAAATCCTTGAAGAAAAAGAAAAATGAAACAGCATTGCAAAGTAAACTGAACATCTCAAACAAGAACTGGAGATAAGAAAAACACCTTGAATCAGAAACTCAAAAATTAGGGGGCGTCTGTGTGGCTCAGACAGTTGAGCGTCTGCCTTCGGCTCAGGTCATGATCTCAGGGTCCTGGTATCAAGTCCCACATCGGGCTCCCTGCTGAGTGGGGAGCCTGCTTCTCCCTCTGCCTCTGCTGCTCCCCCTGCTTGTACTCTCTCTCTGTCAAATAAATAAAATCTTAAAAAAAAAAAAAAACAACCCTCAAATTAAAAAAAAAAGATGGATCAAAAAACTAGGAGGAAATGAAGAGGGCTGACTGAACTCAGGAAAGAAATGGAAGAAAGAGTCACCTCAGAAACAAACACTATATTAAAATATGCCTAGGGAAGGAAACTCTATAAACATAAACCATAAACTGTAAAAGGTGCACTGAGGCAGGAAAGGCAGGAAAACAAAGAGAATGAAAGTGAAAGGAAAGAAGAAAGTAGAAAGTATTTGAGAAGGAGTGTTTGAAATGGAAGCTGGGCCAATGAAGTCCCTGAAAAATAAAACAATGAAACAAAATTAATATTAAAGCCCATAATCCAAGAAAACTTCATATTGTTAAAACACTGAAAATAAGAGGGGCACCTGAGTGGCTCAGTGGTTAAGCGACTGACTCTACCTCAGTTCAGGTCTTGACCTCAGGGTCATGAGTTCAATCCCTGAGGCTGGCTTCACACTCAGCATAAAGCTTACTTAAAAAAAAATTTTTTTAAGTGTGACTCAGGAATTTAATATTCAGCTCAACTGTCCTTCAAGTATCAAGATTAGAAAAATAGTTTGAAATCTAGAACAACTTAGGGATTTCTGTGTCCATGAGTCTTTCTGGAGGAGTCACCTGGAAACAAGCTTTATTCAACCATATGACTTGGAATACTCCAAAATTATCAAGAATATTTTAATATGTATCTAAAATTAAAACAAAAGGGGCATCAAGGGTAGAAGGTAAATATGTAAACACTGTATTGTGACAAAGTAGAAATAATACATCTTAAAAATGGGAGAAAGGAGGGGTGCCTGGCTGGCTCAGTCAGAAGAGCGCGAGATTCTTGATCTTGGTGTAGTGAGTTTGAGCCCCACATTGGGCACAGAGATTACCAGTAAAAAATAAGTAAACTTTAAAAAAAAATGGGAGAAAGGAGAATAAGCCGACTGTTATACAGGCAATGGACTGGACGTGAAGGAAACAAAAACTGACAAAGTCAATAGTAAAAAGCTAGATAAGAGTGACGGCGTTCAAAATGTTATGAATACAAATGTTACCATTGTAATAAAACTACCTATTTTTCTAAATACTAAGAATATTTCTAAAGTAAAGAGCAAAATATACAGAAGAAATAAATACAGCAAACATGACATAATAAACATTAAAAAGTTAAAAAAAAAATAAGTTGACAGTTGGGATAAAATATGTCCAATCATATCAATAAATGTGAATTAACCTAACACCTAATAAAAGATTTTTCAGGTAAGCTACAAATTAAGACCTAATTATATGTGTACCCTATACACTGAATGCTGCTGAGATAAATTCAAAAAGATCTAAATAAATGGAGAAATATACCATGTTCATGTGTTAGAACATTTAGTCTTCTTAGGATGTCAATTCTCCCCAAATTGATTTATAGATTCAATGCAATCCAAAGTAAAATCCCAGACTTTTTGGTAGAAATTGGTAAGCTGTTTCCAAAATTCATATGGAAATGGAAATGACCTACAATAGCCGAAACAACTTTGAAAGGTTGAAGGGCCAATGCACCCTATTTCAAGAATTACTGTACAGACATTAGTAATCAAAAGAGAAAGGTACTAGTGTAAAGGTAGACAAATAGATCATTTGAACAGAATACAAAGTCCAGAAATAGACTCACACGAATATGAACGTTTCAGCAAACATTTGAAGGCAATTCAGTTGAAAAAAACTAAATATTACACAGCATCTAAAAGCAATTATAGGGGCGCCTGGGTGGCTCAGTTGTTAAGCATCTACCTTCGGCTCAGGTCATGATCCCAGGGTCCTGGGATCAAGCCCCGGATCGGGCTCCCTGCTCCGTGGGAAGCCTGCTTCTCCCTCTCCCACTCCCCCTGCTTGTGTTCCTGCTCTTGCTATCTCTCTCTGTGTCAAATAAATAAAATCTTTAAAAAACAAAATAAATAAAAGCAATTATAAAACATTTTTTGTGACCTTGGGTTAGGCAAAGATTTCTCAGCCGTATCACCGACATGACCATTAAAAAAAAAAAACAACATAAAATTGTACTTCATGAACATTTAAAATTCTGCTCTTCAAAGCACACTATTAAGCCCACAGACTGCGAGAAATATTCATATATACTTGCACTGAGAAAAGACTGGTATCCAGAATATATAAGTGTAGAAAACAAACAGCCCAAGGAAAAAATCGGCAGAGTCTTGAACAGATACTTCAGCAAAAGGCTTTATAGGAATGACAGATCATCCCAAGAAAAGATGCTCAATGTCATTAGTCATTAGGAAATGCAAATTAAAATTACAATAAGATACACACCTATTAGGTTGTCTAAAATGAAAGACTGACTTTACCAAGTGCTGGCAACAATGTGTAGTGAAGGAAAGCTCATACACTGCTGGTAGGGGTGTGAAAGGGAACAAATATTAGAAAACAGGGCACCTGGGTGGCTCAGATGGTTAAGTGTCTGCCTTCGGCTCAGGTTGTGATCCCAGGGTTCTGGGATCGAGTCCCACGTCGGGCTCCCTGCTCCTTGGGAGCCTGCTTAATAAAATCTTTAAAAAATATATATATGTATATATTAGAAAACAGTTTGAGTTTCTTTAAAAAAAAATATTCTTAGCAGGTAGATCTAACCATCCCACTCTTAGGTATTTACTGAAGAGAAATGAAAGCATATGTCTATACGAAGACTTGTACACAAATGTCTGTGCCAACTTCATTTTTAAGAGCCCCCAAATGAAAATAACCCAGACGTCTATCAATAGGTAAATGTACAAACAAACTGTGGTGTAACCATACAATGGAATACTCAATAAGAAAAAGAATGGATTATTGATACATGCAACAACGGGGATGAATCTCCAAATAATTATGGTGAATGAAAGAAGCTGGACCAAAAAAAAAGGGTACATACTGTATTCCATTCCTATCCAATTCTAAAAAATGCAAACTAAATCTATAGCAACAGAAAGCAGAGCAGAGGTTGCCTGGAGATGAGGTGGGGTGCAGGGAAGTGTGGGAGAGAGGAATTATCAAGGCACACACGTTAACATTTTGGGCGATCGATATGTTCATTATATTGACTGTGGTGAATATATTTATATTCATTATATTCATTAGTTCATTATATTTACTGTGTATCAATTTCCCTCCATAAAGCTGTTTTAAAAATTGTAACTGATTATATTGCAGATTCAAGGCAAACAAATTTAAAAATCTAGAGGAAACAGAGAATTTTCTAAGCAAATAATATATTACTAAAATTGACTCTCATTATAAATAGAAAGCCTAAACAGACCGGTTTTGTAGAAGAAACAGAAAAAGTTACCAAGGAACTATCCCACAGGAAAGCACCCAGTCCAGATGGCTTTACATCAGAATTCAACCTTCAAAGACCAGCTAATTCCAGTGCTCTATAAATTGTTCTACAGTATTAAAAATGAACAAAAATATAATTACTTTTATGATGCAATTAAAATGTTGAAACCTAAACCTGGAAAATATAGTACAAAAAAAAAAAAGTAAGTTACAGACCAATTTCATATAAACATTGAAGAAAAATGTACTAAATAAAATATGAACAGTCAAACTCATTAACATATTAAGAAAAGAATACACCATGACTAAGCAGGACTTACTGCAGGAATGCAAGATTGGTTCAATATTAGAAAATCCTTTCACATAATACAAGATAATAATAAAATTAAGAAAAAAAACCCCCATGATTTCTGTAGATGCTATAAAGGCCTTTTACAGAATGCAGTCATTCTTCTTTTTTTTTTAAGATTTTATTTGAGAGAGTGCGTGAGAGAGCACGAGTTGGGGGGGGGCAGAGGGAGAGGGAGCAGACTCCCCGATGAGCAGGGAGCCCGATGTAGGGCTCGATCCCAGGACCCTGGGATCATGACCTGAGCAGACGGCAGACGCTGAACTGACTGAGCTACCCAGGTACCCCAAATGCAGTCCATCTTCTAAAATGACTTTTTTTTTTTCCCTCTGAGAGAGAAAGAGAGCACATACGGCGGGGAGGGGCAGAGGGAGAAGGACAGAGAGAATCTTAAGCTGGCTCCATGTCCAGCACTGAGCTCGACATGGGACTCCATCTCACCACGCTGAGATCATGATCTGAGCTGGAATCAAGAGTCGGATGCTTAATTGGCTGAGCCACCCAGGCACCCCCTGTAATACCTATTCAAAAAAATTTAGGAATATACAACAAATACACTCAGAGTTCTGAAATAATCACTGCAGAGTTTTAAAATCTATGTTTCCTATATTTAGTGATCTCCTATAAATTACGTAAGCCTCATTATCTCTCATAGAGATTGGGCTATATTAACAACTTGCTGAAGAGCTTCTAAAGATTCTTTTTGCCTGTTTTAGAACTAAAAAGGATAATAAGCAAGTTACTTAAAGTATTAGCCTTCACAACATTATGTGTTATCTGTAAGGGAAAATATCTCCATCATTATCTGTCAATAGGCTGTATGTTAATTATCTTTCACTATCTTAAAAAAAACAATCAAACCAAAGCTGGAAAATATATTTCTCTGAAGGACATTTACATGACCTTATGCTGGAGAACACAGAAGCAGTCTCAAATTTAGGAAAGTGTCCAACAAATTAATGATGTGGTTACTTTCATTGCATGTACTGAAACTTTATAAATGTGATTTTTGTGTCCTGGGGTACAAACACAAACCTATTTAGCCCGTAAAGAAAATAAAATCTAACAGTAGATAATAATCTACTCTTGTTGAATGAATTAAAGCTGTAAGATTAGAGCAGGCCTGGGGAAAACATGTATGCACAGTCATCCAGGAGACAGTATCCCAAGTCCTGGGATGCAAGGAAGCAACTTATTTCAAAAGTCTTGGTTGCTTACATCTATAGACTCTAGAAAGCAAAAAAGAACTGCTGGCCTTTCCTTTTCTTGACCTGAGGCATTCGCTGAATGTTTTTACTCGCTAAATTGGGCAACTAAGAATACCCATTCCCCATATAACTCGCCCATTTACATTAATTATATTAATTTTCCAATACTGTGGAGATTCTGTTGTGGAGACTTGGTCTCTGTCCATTCAACTTCCCACGATCCTCTCATTTTTAAGAACTTTTCTGATATGGATTCACTGATGTTTACCAAGATCCAACCACTGTCTGAAGACTTCCATACTCATCATACTGTCTGGATTTCCCTGTAGCATGAATTCTTCAATGCTGAATAAAGCTGGTGACTCCATGCAAAGCATTTCCACATTCATCATTTATAAGATTTCTCTCCTGTGTAGATTCTCTGGTGCACTGTCAATCCTGACTTGTGGGTGAAGGCATTCCTCCTTCCTCCACATAAGGTTTTCTAAGGCTTCTGTGCTGAATGAAGTCCTCCTCATAGTCATCACATCTCTGCAGTCTCTTGTTTATGTGATTCTCTGATGTAAAATGAGGCCACCATAACTGAAAGCTTTTCCACATTCTTTACACTGAGCATTTTTCCATGTGGTGGATCTCCTGGTGGGAAAGGAGGGACCCACTCTAAACAAAAGCCTTTCTAAACCTGTTCTCAAAGAGATTCTTCTCTTCGGCATCTGGACTCCCTAATGCTGAGTAAGGAGTCACCAGTGACTAAAACTTTTCCTACACTTATTGCGTAGGTGTTGAAGTTCTACAGAGATCCCACCACATGATTTGTAATCTTCAGAATTTTTTTTGTGTTGGAGACAAGTCCTTATTTTCATTCTCAGTAACACCACCTTAAAAAAAAAAAAATGCACAGACATTTCAAATGTTGGTTGTCTCTTCTGCTGAAACTTAAGATGAAGAACAGTGATAAAAATAAAACCCAGTTTTACCTAAAGTGCATGCCTGTTCTATGTATCTAAACTGTCATCTCAATTTGGCAAAGTGCCCAAAAAGGCATGCAAGGTTCCAGCCTGAGTGAGAAGACACAGCTGGGCAGAAAGTTTGGAAGAACATGGAGGATTTTCTCACAAAATGTGACAGAGAATCAGGAAGGTATAATCAAAAAAGTTAAGAGGAGATAAGTTTGAATCCAGAGATGAAAAACGGGAGTCATGAAATCAAGAGAAATTTTAATTTGTTAGTGTGAGTTAAACGGACCATTTATGCCAACTGAAATGTACCCAGGCCACTACTATAGACAAGCAAAATGTTCCACAAATATTTATTGAGTCAGTCAATGAACAGTGGTATATGATAAAAGTTAACTTGAAGCAACAGCTAGAACAGTTCAAAATATATACTGTTTTGATATGGAAAAACTAAATTGGGGAAAATAACTTTTCCAGGAACGTTCAGGACTAAAACACAGGAAGAAAGCTGCACTTTGAAGTTAAAGGAGTTGACAGGTCAAAACAATTCAAACAAAACCACTCACAAATATGGCTGGGAGTTTCTACCTCAAGAATCGGGCAGATAATGAGAAGGAGGTGGGTAGGGGCAAGTTTTCAAGGGAAAGGACATTACTGAGAGTTCTAAAAAGCTTCCTTTCAAGGATCTCATCTTTCTCTGCAGACACCCTTTCTCATCCGCTTTCCGTTTCAAAAGGCAATAATGCTCAAAGTCAAACTATGACCAGGGTCTTAACAGGCTGCACTTGAAACCCTGGATTCCAAAGTACTCTCTCTGCCATAAGCATTTCTTGTTCTATTCTTTAGCCTGTACCCTAAAGGCAATGGGATGAAGCTGGTCTTGGAAAACTGAATTTGAAGTCGCCCAAACAACAATGACAACCCAGTAACGAAACGCTTCCCAGTGGTGCACACGAATACCAAGGGGAATTAAAGCCCATGAGGGAGGTGCTGGGTTTTGGCTGCAGGGACATGTAGTGGATCCTAAAGTTCAGTTTTACTTTCTCTGCTATTCCAGAAGACCTTCACTACTCAAGCCGTAACCTATGTGATTATCCCAACCCTTCCCACCTGATGGCCTTCCCTCCAAGCTGTCTCCAACTTCTCTAGCATAAGTGATGCCTCTTCTCCACATTCTGGGTATTATCCCTGCCCGAGTCTGCAGCTTCCCAGCGAGGTGTCAGGACCTGCTTCAGCACCTGCTCCTTGGTCTGTTTCTGGTCTCAGCAACTATGGGCAAAGCTCTGAGAGTCTTCCGACAGCCCTGGGAGGCCCAGGGAGCTGTCTCCTGGCAGCAGCAACTTGAAGTCTGAAGGACTGTCCGTGACTTCTTTGCCAGCGTGGTCCCAGGCACGGCCCTCTCCCTCTGCCGTCAGTCACTATTAGGGACCCTTCGGCAGGAGGACCGCCATTCTGGAATGAGGGCACTCAGGAGAAGATTCACGCCAGCCTGGGGTTCACAACGGTTCTTCAGAAGTGTTTCCTTGTAGCCAGTCTTCTTCCTGGGGCACAAAAGAACACTGTTAACAGAAGCTCTAATTTTTGTTCCGCTGTTTTACTCAAGAATTCACTACCCGGACAAGGCACTGAAAGAAAAAGGAACTGTCAGGAAGCTAAATAAAGTGAGTGGGAGGGACTTTGCAAATCATTAGCGAGCACCGTGCGCTGAAATCTTTTACTTCCTAAATGTTTGTTAATAAAACTTGAAAGACCATGACCCTCTTCCCCTGGGTTCTCCCCTTCAAAGAATCCCGGAGAAACAGTGGAGAAAACAACATCAGAGATGAGAAAACAAGGACAGCTCATGTTTATTTAAAAGTAACTACAAATGCTTTCACAATCCACGGACAACTGGACGATACTGCGGTACAGACATCAAGTCGTCGCTAAATCACACAAGCACCGAGGGGCTTCTAGGCCGCTTCTTGCCCCCAGCGTCGCCTCATCGACTGCAGGGAGGGTCAGCAGTCAGGGCATCTCCCCGACCGACCCCACACCACCTCCTCCTCAACAGTCCCGGTGTCCCGGCACCCCTCCGAACTCCGAAGCCGCCCTCGACTCCCCCTGCGACCCTCGCTCGTCGGACCCCTCCCCCACCGCGGCCCGCCGCGGCGCCCCAGGCAGCCGGCGGAGAGGCCCCGCCCCCGCGCCCCGCCCCCGCGGCGCCCGCGCTTCCGGGCCGCCTGCAGCCCCGCCCCCCCGCGGCGCCGCGCGGTCTCCTCTAGGAACCTGGAGGCCCTCTCCTCTCGGTGGCTGCCTAGCGGCGTCCCAGCCCCGCTGAGCCTCCGGGCGGCGCCCGCAGCTGAGCGGGGCCCGCGCTCGCACGGCCGTCCCCGAGGAAGGAGGACCCGCGGACCCGGGCGGCGCACCACGCGGCGGTCCCGCCAACGCTGCCCGCGCGAAGCACTGTGCGTACAACCCACCGGCCCCCACGTAACGCCCAGGCGGCACCGCCCTACGGGGAGAGCGCGACACAACGAAGGTCAGCCACTCGCCCGAATCCGGTCGACGACAGAAACCCGTCACGTTTCTTAGCGGGTATGAGAGGAGGTCACCACTTCAGTAGGCCCGCTGAGGTACTAGATCAGCAAGATACGCCTATCAAGCCCCGAGAGGAATTAGTCAAGAGCTAACCCTAAGTCACAGGTGACAAGTAACATCCCTTGGAGGCCCTTCTTGGGATACCCAGGACCAGGCCGTCTGGGCTAAGATGATCCGTGAAACAAACACGTACGCCTTCAGCTGTGCGGGGTGAAAGCTCTGGGAGCCTTGACCGATGGGCTTTCAGACCTCGGAGTGAACAGTCAGGGGTTTCCATGAAATCGAGGGAAAACCGCTGGCTCTCGGTGATGGTCTTAAAATGTGAGCCGAGGAGCTACTCAGCCGAGTTTACTCACCATGGCTGGATCAAAATCAAATTACATGTATAAAATAAAACCTACGTACAACACATATTCTTATAAAATATGTTCATACATATATACTTTATATATATATATAATGTGTGTATAAAAAATGTGCAAGAACTCCTTACCAATTACACCCAAAAACATTAGGTTATGAGAGAGGACCCAAAGAAATTCCAGTAAAATGAACTGCTAGAGGGGCTGTGATATGAGAACTTTTCAGTGTGAAAGGATGAAAGTTGAGAATATTTAATTAAAGGCTGTCAAATGATTATCCCTAAACTGAATAGGGCAACTTGTTGCTCAAATAAATTGTGGGCTTGTGGAGTTAGGAGAGGCACCTGAAAGAACTATTTTATATAATTCTGTTTCCGTTAATCTTAGAAGTGGTGTTAGCTACAAATATAAAACCCTCATCAAGAATAGATCCATAATATGGGTTATTGGATAGATCCATAACCGGACATCAACTTTATGATGTGTATTAATGAGGACTGCCAAAAATCCCATATTCTGTCAGAATAGAGGGTGATCCTTTCCTATAAAGAGTCCATTTTTAGTGGAATGTCTCCTGTGGACACCCTCCTTGTGTAGGCAGCAAGCATTAGGGTTCACATTACATTGACCAAACTTCATCCAAGATTTGGTGTGCAGAGGGTGGTGATATTACCTTGGGTGCTTGGACCTAGGACTCTGGAGTTTCTGAAGTCTCTTTCAGAAATGACAGTAGAAAAGTTCCCACAGATCATTACTCAGGACATTGATTACCACTGCAACACAGGGTACCTTCAACTGAAATAGGAAGTGTGGGCTCTAGAATTGGGCTGCTTGGGTTCAAAGCTTGGCCCCACTATATACTAACTTTGTGACCTCAGGCAGCTTCAATTCACTGATTTCAGTTTCCCCAGCTAAGAAGAAAATAAACCACTTGGTAATGCCCGACCCTTAGTAAGCCGTATATGTTACATATTATTAACAAATCCTATTCTCGACTCCCAAAGACGCCAATAAGGGCTTTGTTTTGACTGTAAGAACTCTATGATGAATAATCTATGGCAAATAACAAGAGGCTATTTCTGCTCAGAGCACAGGGGTGCAGACCTGCTCTCCACTGCCTCACCCCATAACTGACATTTCTCAATTCAGAGTCCTGCTCAATCCCATTCTGTTTCCTCAGTAGCTTTATCTCACACCTAAAATTCCAGCAACCTCTTCTTACAACTGGGTCCTTTCTATTACACCCCCTAAACCCGTTTGTCAGGTTACTCTTCATTCAAAGCCCCCTTCACTTTTTTCGTCTTAAACACTCAGTATCTTGTTTACCTTGAATCAATTAGAAAAGAGAAGCCAGTCAATCTCACTCTCATCCTTATTGATATTTCTAAGCCACTGCTTTGTGACTCAGGTGTTACACCAGTTCCTCCACCTGGCTGTTACTACTCTTGACTGCCATTATTTCTACCTTGGACTTGCTTCAATTTCACACTTTTCCTTCCCATCCTACTGCCTGTTATTGCTGATGGTTTCAAAATCCACAAAGGTAAGCCGCTTCAAAGGACCCTGATTTCCTAGGTCCTGTTTTATCCAGAAAGATGCACTCTGGACTTCATCATTCTCTGTTTGCCACATTCCCCAACTTCATATCGAACCTGTTATGTCCTCCATTTGCCCCTCAGGGCCTTCTACTTCTGTGTTGCCAATTTAGCTCCAGTTATTATACTCTATTTTCTCCTTATCCTGGATAGTTTGACCCTTTTGATGCCTACCTGGAAATTCCACCCCACCCCACCCTTTCTTGGTACTGCAACTATATTTAAGTACAAGAAACAACCAGAACAAAACTCCCACCTTTGTTTTTAAACAAGTTATGAACTGTATGCTATATCACAGGCATATCCCGATGCTCTGGGTCTCTATCTATGGCTCCTTTATATTAGGCAATTAAAGGCGTTAGAGGCCAATGGAGGCACGCGTCTGCGTTGAGAACGTGTTAAGCAGAAGATGAACTGCATAACCTGTAACAGCGCTGTGAACAGAAAGCAAGTTTAAAGTAAGAATCGTGTTCCAGTGAGCAGTAGGATTCGAGAGGTCAAAGAGTAACTTCAGTTTGGATACCGTGTCTGACATCAGATCAGGTGACAAGCACGAATAGCATTAGTTGGTGAAGAGGACGTGCTCATATGGGTTCTCATCACTAAGCAGCGAGGAGCTTGCCAGAGTGAGAAATGCAAGGCAGGGTGAGCTGGGGAAGGGAGCAGGAACACACAGCTCAAAGCTCTCAGGCTCACTCGGGGCAACAAACTGTTTTCTGGATGTAAAAGGTTAGTTCCCCAACCTTGGCTGCCTCAGTGTCTCATGTGTGCAGCTCCCATGTTGGTCTTAGGATAAACACCTAAAGAGAGAGTCCTCAACTTGTGACTCTGAGTTGTTTTTTCAAATGTTCATTTGCTTTCTTCTATTGTGAACTCAGGATGTTTTCCCATGGTCATGTAAATTCCAATCCCAAAAGCAAATGACACGTGTCATTATATGCCTAAATTATAGTACTAATACCATTATTCTTCTTATGGGAAAATGTGCTCACACTTAGAGCTTAAAAGCTACATAGCTATTTCTCCAGGAACCCTTGTGGTTCCAAGCCAGTGCTGATACTCTTATGTTCTGGATAGGGCTACGGATAGAGGGATAGGAGACAAGGGCCGAAGGGAAAGGGGGCAGAGTACATTACAGGAGCAGGGAGGAGATGGGATAGAGACCCAGGGCTGGATACAATGGCAGTTAAGAGTAGTTAAAGGAGGGCAATTACCCATTTCTCCCCTCCCCCTTTTGTCTCACCACTTCAAACCCACTAACCAGCTAGAGGTGAGGGGTGGAGAGGATCCTGGAGTCCTGTGGGATGAGGTAGGGTGGGGAGGTAGTCCCAGAAATTGCAGAGTCTACTGTGGCAAGGTAGCAAGGGAGGGAAATTGGAGGACAGCTGAGTGAAGATTAAGAATAGTCTCTGTAAATAAAAAGATCAACAGACCAGGAGCCATGTGCGCCTCTCTGTGGCTGCCGACCGCCCACAATAATCATCACAGGCCCTCATCTAGGACCGAACTGTTTACTCAGTAAAACAGGAGTAAAGTCAACCAGTTATCGGTTCATGTTTTCACAACTCCCAAGGGACAGAGTCACTAATCTTTGGCTCTTTTATGGGCTCAAGAAGGTATACAAACCAAAAAAATTGTAAACCAGTTCTGAAGAGCAGTTATCGGGGAATTCAGAACGTGAGAACTACGTGATCGGGGGAAAAGAGAGGTCAGGAGCCAAGGAGAGAATACTAGCACCCTCCCCTGACTAAACACACACAGCCTTGTGCTCAGATGGCCCCTGCAGCCTTCGAATGCAGGTCAGGAGGCTATTTTGACACCCTTAAATGCGAAGGGGCGAGCAGGCCAGCCTGAAGCCCTGGTGGCTGGCCGGCGCTCAGCCTCTCTCTAAAGTACCGGTTGCACCTCTCCTCCGTCGGCTTCCCTTCCGCTCTAAACCAGCAGCCGTGCCTGTTGACGGGACTGCGCGCACGCATCCGCGCTCCACAGGCAACCATGAAGGCAGCTGGGATTCAATGCGCGGCTTCTCGAATTGCAGCATCAGGTGACCGGCTACAAACATGAAGATTCCCGGCCCCCATCCCAGGCTTAACGAGGCAGAAGGTCTGTGAGTGGGACGTGGGCATTTTAAACGAGCTCCACACGCAATTCTGACGCTCAGTGAAGTGGAGGGATCCCTAGAGCAACGGACAGGACTTGAAGTCGGAGACCTACTCTTCAGGGGCTGGTCTCTCCCTTGTGTGACATGGTAGCTATGTCACCATCTCCACCTGCAAGAGTCCTCACCTTTCCAATGGACAGTGATTTTAATTTAGAGAGATTTTAGGAATGAAGTCAGAAAAGTGCTAAGAGGCACGCGCACCCTCCCGCAGTCTGTCCCCAAGCTCTGCAGCCAGCCTACCGCCATCAACCGCCCAACCGGACAGACCCTCGACCTCAGGTCGGCTCGGACGCCGCCAAACCACGAGCACTCTGCCTGCATTTCCTTCACCCTAAATGCTTTCCATTTTGCCTTCCAATTCTGCCCACCCAACCCTTTTCGTAAGATCTTTCCTGACCCCGAGGTGTCGGTGGTCCGTCCTCCCAGATGGACAGCACTTACTGTGCACCACAAGCCACTTCCAAGACACGGGACTCGCGCCATCAATTCTCCTGTCCCCCTGCAGTCTTACCTAACCTCACACGTGGTATTTAGCTATCCCCAACTAAACTGTAAACTTCGGAGAAGAGGAACTTGGTGTTATGCTTCTTGATCTCCACAGCACCTGACAGAACGGGCAGCACACAGGGAATTCTTTATAAAATAGCTAAGGTTTCCTTAGAGCAACAGTGACTGGCATCTTCCCTAAATGACTTCAAAGCCGGGATTTCTCTCCAGCCCGCACTCTGTGACACAGCTTCCCTGTAGCCATCACAGAGAAACAGACTTTTCTCCTCTGTGGATAGTCTGATGTTGAATGAGAGCTGAGGTCTGCCTGAACGATTCCCCACACTCTTTACATTTACAGGGACCACCTCTAGTATGGATTCTCTGGTGTTTACTAAGATCTGACCTCTGTCTGAAGGCTTTGCCACATTCATCACATTGGTAGGGTTTCTCCCCAGTGTGGATTCTCTGATGCTGAATGAGGCTGGTGATTCCACGGAAGGCATTCCCACACTCCTCGCACTTGTAGGGCCTCTCTCCAGTATGGATTCTCTGATGTTCCGTGAGGACGGATCTCTGAGTGAAAGCCTTCCCGCACTTATCACATTTACAGGGTCTCTCCCCAGTGTGAATTCGCTGATGTTCTATAAGACTCGTCCTCTGAATAAAGGCTTTTCCGCATATGTCACACTTGTAAGGTTTCTCCCCAATGTGGATCCTCTGATGCTGAACGAGGCCACTCTGACTGAAGGATTTCCCACATTCCTTACACTGATGGCACTTTTCTTTGTGGTGGATCTCCTGGTGGGAAACAAGGGACGAGTTATAAACAAAGGCTTTTCCACACTCGCTGCACTCGTAGGGCTTTGCCCCAGTGTGAACTCCTTGATGCTGAGTGAGTATGGAGCGCCGACTGAAACTCTTGTTACACTGAGTACAGTGGTACGGTTTGTCTCTTGTGTGGATCTTGAGGTGGTGAAAGAGGCCTGCTTTCTGGCTAAAGGCTTTGCTGCGCTCATTGCAGTGGGAGTGCTTCTCTCCTGTGTGAAGCCTCTGATGTTGGTTAAGAGCTGACCACCGGCCAAAGGCTTTGCCACACTCAGTACATTTATATGGCTTCTCTCCGGTGTGTATTATTTTGTGCCGAATAAGCACAGTTCTCCCACGGAAAGTTTTTCCACATTCCTCGCATTTGTAGGGCCTGTCTCCAGTATGGACCCTCTGATGTTCTAGAAGACGCGAGTGCTGACGAAAGGCTTTCCCACACTCCTTGCACTCGTGAGGTTTTTCTCCCAGACAGACCCTCTGCTCTTCAGTCAGACTGACTCTGTTTTCATCACCTGTAGATTGTTCACCTTTCCTGGAGTGTCCAGATGATTCTTCTGTTTTTGCTTCAGATTCATCAGCTTTTCTGCACCGAGCGGGCTGGGACACTTCACTTTCAAATCTAGACATATTCTCATATGGTTCCATTTCTTCAGAAACTTCTTGCTTTAAATTCCTGGACTCGTTTCCAGTCTCAACACCTGAAACTACAATGGATTGCCAAGTCAACTAGTTTCCAACATAAGATTTGTCAGTGAAAAATACATAAGAACCTAGAGTACATAAAAACCTAGAGTTTCTGCAGGACGATGAAATGGCATTAGACCACAGGACAGACACAATACGTAAAGCACTCCAAAAATTGTTATGGAAATGACCAAAAACCCAATAGAAACTGGGCAAAGGAAAATTTGACTGTAATAAGGGAAAAGCAAACTTAAACAATACTGAGACACAATAAAGGAGTGTGGGAAAGCCTTTTCACCCATCATCCTGCCCATCAGTACGACGTAACACTGTGTTCATGAAATGGGTGTCACATGTTGCCAGTGGGAGTGTAAACTGACCCACACTTTATAGAAGGCAATTTGACAACATCTATCAAAATTACAAATGTATTTAACCTTTAACCTAGTAATTTCACATACAGGAATTTATACTGCAGAATTACACACATTCACCATAGCACCACCTGTTACAGTACAACACTGGGGATAACTTGGGGGATGGATAAGTTAACTGTGTGGTTCATCTATACATTTTACTATTAAGCTGCTAAGAAATAAAAAATACAAGCTTTTGGGGCGCCTGGGTGGCTCAGTCGTTAAGCGTCTGCCTTCGGCTCAGGTCATGATCTCAGGGGCCTGGGATCGAGCCCCACATCGGGCTCCCTGCTTCTCCCTCTCTCCTCCTGCCTGTTTCTCCCTCTCCCGCTCCCCCTCCTTGTGTTCCCTATCTCGCCGTGTCTCTGTCAAATAAATAAATAAAATCTTTTAAAAAAAAAATTGCAAGCTTTTACTATCTTTATGATAAAGAGAAGAAAAGGTATTTGCTAGAATATGAAAAACGTATGTATCTCTAGAGAAGGACACATAAGAACTTAAAACAGTGACAACCTATTTCAGGGCTGGGAGGCCAGACAGCCAAGGGAACAGAGTGAAATGAAAACTTTTCACTGATAATTTTAAGTTTTTGTTTTTGAACTGTATGAATTTTTATCTATTTTAAAAAATTGAATAGGAAAGAATAAATATAGACAAAATAGAGACAAGGAAGATAAGGGGTCTTTCATCCATTCACCAACTTTTAACATTCTGCCACATTTGCTTCGTTGTTTCCTCTCTTTGTCAGCATACACATACATACATTTTTTCCTGAACCATCTGAAAACTGCAGACATCGTGGGGCAGAGGCTTGTTTACTGAAGGAGGAAGGATACAGCCAAAGTGAAGACAGTAGTACCGTCTGATAGGATAAAGGCTAGGAAAAGCAGGGATATCAGTACAATGGAAAATAACTATCAGAATAACTAGGTTAAGCGATCTCAAGTAAAATACTTTTTTTGAATTCTTGCACTATTTTACTTGAGATCACTTAACTTAGTTATTCTGATAGTTATTTTCCATTGTACTGATAAACCGAAGAGTGACAAACCAAAGTGGCTGAGAGTCTGTGCCCAAGAGACTTCCTGACTCTGATGATAAGAAACAGTACAGAGTACTACAGAGGCTTGGTGTCCTGTGCTAGCCCATCCTCCCCTTCCTCCCACGACGGGTCTGTCTTCTTTACCTTGCTCCTCCAGCTGGGCTTCAGGTTCTGGAGACTCACACTTGAGCTGTGCCATCAGGGGTGGGAAGGACATGCTGGGCTCCTGTTCTGTTCTCAGAGGGGCCATCTCCTGCGAGGGCTGGTCCTGTTCCTCAGTGTGGACTGAGACCTGCGGCAAACGAGACACAGCTCATACACTCAGTCTGTGAACAGAAAATAAGAGCCTACGAATCATGGCAGTGACACCCAGCTCTCTGACACCTCAACTTCCTTCCAGGCACCAGCCTGCCATAACCCTCCTCACGGCACCTCCTCTAAGAAATCTTCCTTTCTCCTGTTCTTCACAGCTAAACAAGGCTGGTTGTACCACCATCACTTCATTTATGCTTGGAGAAAGGCAGAAGGAAACAAAGGAGCGACAGGGGGAGGAGGAGGGAGAGGAATCTCTTCCATGTAGGCTCCAGAAGCTGTTCCCTACAGACTGCCCTTCCCAGGCCCCCACCCCACTTCCTTCCAGGAGATGACCTTATTTTCTCCTTGTCCAAGGTCATGGTCACATGAGAGACCACCCACCCTTCATTTCATCACTCCCCCCCATACACACCTTTTCCCTTCCACTTAGAGGAAGAGGCCTTTTCTCATTCAAGGTGCGTATCTCCACTCTCGCCTTCGACCCCATCCCTTCCCTCACTGCACCCCTGACCCCTGCTCCTGCAACAAACTCATTTATTTAGCAGTTTCAGCCACTCTGTAGCTTCCATGCCTGCACAGAATCATTCCCCTTGTATTTAAAAATAACAGGTTTCCCCAGCAGGGTGTGAAACGCAGGAATCTGGGACCACTCTCATTCCTTAGTCTGTGTCTTAGTTCAGGAGCTCTGTGAGCAGGGGCTGGTTACTTGGACTACACGGCACCGTGCACACAAAGCACCTCACAGAGCGCAGGGCTACACCAGGCCCTCAAACTGCTCCCCAATCCCCTTCAGTGGCTACATTCTGTAAATAAGAAATCACCGCACACTGCCTCTATTCTCATTTCTAGCACAGATCCCTCCACCGAATCCCAGCTTGTTACACCCAGTTGCCTGCTCAACTTTTCCAGATGGATTCTAATAGGAATCTCAAAATCAACACATCCAAATACCTAGTAACCCTTGATCCCTGTCCTGACTCCAAACCTTCCTCTCTCCCAGCCTTTACCATCTCCATGAATGACGAATCCACAAGTCATGACGTTCAGAACAAAAACCTTAGCCGAATCCTGAGCTCACTTTCTCTCCTATCCCACATCCTACAGAAAAACAAATCCCGTCAAGTGCTACCTCCAAAACAGGCAGGATCCAATCGCATCTCACCACTTCCACAGCTACTGCCCTAGTCCAAGCCGCCAACACCTGTTGCCTGGATTGGTGCTGAACCTGTCTCCCTGCTTCTATCTTTGACCCCCCAGCCTCCCGCACCCCCACCACCAGCCCCCGTGCACAACTCTTCCAACAGAGCGGCTAGAGTGATTATTTTTAAAATTTAGGTCAGGTCAAACCTCTTCTCTGTTCAAAACTCTCCGGTGACTCAGCACCCCCAGTTTACTGTCTGCCTCCTCTCAGACTAGAATCTATCTATGAGACAGCAACAACGTCTGCGCTTTGTTCACGGCTCCGTTTCCAGTGCCTAGAATGGTGCCTGGTACAAAACTCCATTCAGTAAATGTCTCCTGAACAAATGAACTTTTCCCCAATCCACCTTCCCCTACACCCTGGAACTCTGTTAGGAGCACCTGAATCACGCTAGTCTCTCAAGCGGGAAGTCCCCAGTACTCAGCCTAGAAGTGACTGCTCTGTACAGAGATTTCCCTTCATCCTTCCTTTTTCATCCACTGATCTGTCATCGTTTCCAATTAATACTTACGACATGCTTCGTCCTCTGTAGTCTCACCGTCACAGCTCTCTCAAACTCACATCTTTCTGCCACAGGCTCCTCCCTTCCAGTGTTGGCGCCCCAGTGCTGAGCTGCACTTCTTGTTTTATTATTTCCCTGTTTTATACTCTTCCTAGCAAGACCTCCCAGCCTTGACTCTACTGACAAGTTGGGTCAGATAATCCTTTGTTGTATGCGGCTGTCCTATACACTGTAGGATACTGGGTAACGTCCCTGCCCGTTAGCCACTAGATGCCAGTAGCACCTCCCCCAAACGACAACCAAAAATGTCCCAAGACATTGCCAGATGCCTCTAGGGCACAAAATTGCCACTGGTTGAGAACCACTGTCTTTTATCATGTTGAAACAAAACAGAACAAGATCCTACATACTTTGGTTACATCCTGGGGTTAGAGAAGCTCATTTAGACTCAAAGAGAAAACATTAGACGCTTGTGTCCTACAGAATAAAATGTAAATTCCAGAGGTGATATTCAAGGCCCTGGACTCTGTTTTCAACCCCTCTACTCACACCTCACCTGTCCAACCGAAGGGCTTTCTCCTGCTTCCAGTAACTCCCATCCCTGCCCGGCCCCTCCCTCCTAACCTTCCACTCTGCTCCTACCTCCCACTCCTCCAAGGTGGGGACTTTGATTTCTCCTTCGTTTAATCCTTTAATGGAGGCAGGGCAGGGGATGGGATACACTGTTGTGCAACAGAAGCAATGTCCCTTTCAAGAGACTGCTGACCACCCCGTTACCATGACCTCTCAAACATTTGGTCTTAGAAATCTCTTTCTAATGTTTTTGAGCATTTCATCAAATAGAACTCTGTAGGCCTAGTACAGAAATACATGATCCTTCCGCAGAGAAGCCATAAATAAGTTAGAACTACATTAACCAACTTTCCATGAGGCTAGGGCCTGATGCACCGAAGTGTCAAAAACACACTTTGTGAAACGAAGTTGTACTTCGCTCTGGCCTAGAAATCCCTAATTCACCTTTTCTCAATCATTAAGCAGATCTCTTTTTCTCACCTGTTCTCCAGGCTCATCCAGCTCCCTCTCCAGATCCTCTAGCACGGTCACCGCCTGCTCCCCGCTCTCCCGGTGCCGCTCCCGCACCCAGGCCTGCAGCTCCTCGGGCAGGATGGCCAGGAACTGCTCCAGCACCAGCAGCTCCACGATCTGCTCCTTGCTGTGCGTCTCGGGCCGCAGCCACTGACGGCAGAGCTCCCGCAGCCGGCTCAGCGCCTCGCGGGGCCCAGATGTCTCCTGGTAGCAGAACTGCCTGAAGTACTGTCGGAAGACCTCCCTGCTGTGGGTGTTGCTCTTTCGCAGGTTCTGATCCTGTCCGGTGGTGTCCTTATACTCCTCCCTCTCCTCCTCCTCGATCTTTACTTCCAAAAGCTCATCCTGGTCCTCGTGGGCCGGGAGAGCCCAAGCAGATGCCATCACAGCTGTGCAGAAGCTTCATCGGTGCCGCAAGCAAGATTCCCTGTTAAGTCCTCCCTGGGTGGACCTGAGGGAGAAGCCCTCACTTTTCACACAAGCTACACCGTAGGCAAAATTTGCAAATTCTAATAATTTACTTCTGTGCTTTGCAAGCCACCTCCAGGCTAATTTACGATACTCATGGAAATACTCCGATTACAAAAGACTTAGGAACAGACTAATCTAAAGAGAAGGATTAAGTAAAAGCTGCGAAGTGGTCTGAGGGTTTTACAACGGCCTGGTAGGAAACACCTGCACTGAGTCCTAGAACGAAGGGCAATCAAAGGGAATACAACCGACATTTAGAGCAAATAAATAGCAACAGAACGTCGACACACCCTCGCTCAGTCGCCTTTCTCCTGTAACGGCCGGACGTCCGGCGGAAACCCTGCCGCCAGGAACGCCGGACTCCAGCCCCTCGGGCCTGTGTCCGCCCTTCCCCCGCGCAAGCCACACCGCGTTTCACGACTCTCCGAGGGCGGGACAGGGCCGCACGCTCGCTCACCCGCGGCCCGCGCCGGCCAGCACACGGGTCACTCCCGGGGTACGAAAGGCCGCGGCCTCCAGGCGGTCCGAAGTCGGAACCGCCCACAGCGCCCCACCAAGGCCGGAAGCGAGCGGCGTCGGCGCGCGCGCACTTCCGCCGCAGCCGCAGGGAGGGGGCGGGCGCTGGCCGGGCAGTTCCCGCGCGGCCCCGCGAGGTCGCGAGAGTTAGACAACGGGCGCGCGCACTTCCCCCGCAGCCGCAGGGAGGGGGCGGGCGCTCGCCGGGCAGTTCCCGCGCGGCCCCACGAGGTCGCGAGAGTTAGACGGTGGGCGCGCGCGCACTTCCGCCGCAGCCGCAGGGAGGGGGCGGGCGCTCGCCGGGCAGTTCCCGCGCGGCCCCGCGAGGTCGCGAGAGTTAGACGACGGGAGCGCGCACTTCCCCCGCAGCCGCAGGGAGGGGGCGGGCGCTCGCCGGGCAGTTCCCGCGCGGCCCCGCGAGGTCGCGAGAGTTAGACGACGGGAGCGCGCACTTCCGCCGCAGCCGCAGGGAGGGGGCGGGCGCTGGCCGGGCAGTTCCCGCGCGGCCCCGCGAGGTCGCGAGAGTTAGACGGTGGGCGCGCTCACACTTCCGCCGCAGCCGCAGGGAGGGGGCGGGCGCTCTCCGGGCAGTTCCCGCGCGGCCCCGCGAGGTCGCGAGAGTTAGACGACGCGCGCGCGCACTTCCCCCGCAGCCGCAGGGAGGGGGCGGGCGCTCGCCGGGCAGTTCCCGCGCGGCCCCGCGAGGTCGCGAGAGTTAGACGACGGGCGCGCGCACTTCCCCCGCAGCCGCAGGGAGGGGGCGGGCGCTCGCCGGGCAGTTCCCGCGCGGCCCCGCGAGGTCGCGAGAGTTAGACGACGCGCGCGCGCGCACTTCCGCCGCAGCCGCAGGGAGGGGGCGGGCGCTCGCCGGGCAGTTCCCGCGCGGCCCCGCGAGGTCGCGAGTTAGACGACGCGCGCGCGCGCGCACTTCCGCCGCCGACGCAGGGAGAGGGCGGGGAAGTTAGACAGGCGAGCTGCGGGTGTCGTTAACTCTCAGTCCCCAGCTCCTGCGCCTGTCGCTGCTCCCGCGACCTCGGCCCCACGGTGGGCGAGGCCTGGCACACATGCAGTAGGTGCCACTTTGTCCTGGCATTCTCTTTATAAATTACTAGCGTCAACTTGCCAGGGTTTTGCTGGGGGGTTTGCATCTCTGCTCGTGGGAAGTACTGGCCTGTAGTTTTCCTTTCTGTAATGTCTTCGGGTAATGTCGGCCCTAGGACGCGCGGCTTCCTGCAGAAGGCTGACCCCGGAGGAGCCGGCCAGCACCGGACTAAGGGGCCCGGGCGAAGCAGCCCGCCTCGGTCACGGGTGCGGTGCAGCCACAGAAAAGCGCATCCGAGCACGGAGCGCGCAAGACACGGGGCGGGCCCAGGAACAGCGCTCCCCCGGTCTGCACGGGGGACCTCAGGGATGCGGGGATGCGGAACAGACACCAAAGGTAAAAATGGATCTCCAGAAAACTCACTGATAACATCTGGCCACTTTATAAGCCAGGTAATTCCAACATTTAAAAAAGAAATGTTTCTTGTGGTATTTTGATACTCCTTCTAAGTACTTCTAAAATCAAAAGAGGAAAAAAAACAGACTGAGATCCAGGACTCAAGAAAGACATGGTGAAACTGTAATTCCGAAGATCACTGTTACTTTGTGTATAAAAAATAAACCTATATATACACTTGATTAGCTCATAATCATGTTGGGTGTATTTAGGTAAGTTGTAAAGGAGGCAAGAAAGGAGAAAAAAGTTGAACAATAATTTAAGAAAAGAGAATCCAAAAAACTTTATTATTATTTATCCCCCAGGCTTTAAATCTGGGTGCACAAGGGTGTTTTGGAAAACTAAAGATGGCTATAAATTTTTCAGCATTTTTCCCTTAGGAGGTGGAGGTCTAGGTCATTTCCCTTTGAGTCTAAGTGGGTTTGATAACTGCTCTGATAAAATACAGCAAAAGTGATGCTATTTGAGTTTCCCAGCCTGAGCCTTTAGCAGCAGCTTTCACTTTTTGTTTTTTTGAACAATTGCTCTTGGAGTCCTGAGCCATCACAGGCACAGGCTGACTGCCCTGCTGGAAAGATCACATAAGGAGGCCCTGAGCCCACCCTTCTAGCTGTCCTTGCCCCAAGGCACTGGGCATGGCGGTGCAGCTGTCTTGGATTTTCCAGGCAAACCCAGCTGCCAGATGAATACCACCAAGTGTCACTAGAAGATGCCACATGAAATGGACAAACCTTCCAGCTGAGCCTTCCCCAAATTCCTGGCCCAAAACATCATGGGATGGATGTTTATTCTAAGCCATTGTTTTCGGGTAACTTTTTATGCATCAATATATGTTACTATAACAGCTTGGTTACACTATTCCCTGAGGATATTAAATTTCCTTAGATTAGATGGTAGAGTCTACAAGGAATTTTAAATTTGTAATTGATTTCTTGACTTCCAACCAGAAAAAGGTATTGAGGACATGCTACATCTTTTTTTTAAGTTGAGTTTATTAGGGAACTATGAGAGGCAGCGACAACCCAGTGACAGGAAGAAAATTTTGAAAATGTCCCTTCAAGCCAAGTGGGGACCTGGCCTTGACCTCCCCAAAAGGACAAGAAACTGGCGGGTTAGCAACGAAATTCTGTGGTGGCCACCTTGCCAGGCCATGAGTGTCTCAGCCAGACTGCCCCTTAGCCCCCCACCAAAGATGGAGAGGAGACAAAGGCTTTTTATAGAACCAATTCCAAGGCAATGAGAGCTTTAAGGAAAGTTGGAGGGGGGGGAACCTCAACAAAGAGTCCCAGGGGGGGCGCCTGGGTGGCTCAGTTGGTTGGGCTACTGCCTTCGGCTCAGGTCATGATCCTGGAGTCCCTGGATCGAGTCCCGCATCGGGCTCCCTGCTTGGCAGGGAGTCTGCTTTTCCCTCTGACCCTCCCCCCTCTCATGTGCTCTCTCTCATTCTCTCTCTCTCAAATAAACAAAAATAAAATCTTAAAAAAAAAAAAAAGAGTCCCAGGGGTTTGGCTCTGAGCAACTCAAATACTTTGACAAATAGTTCTACAAAATGTTATTTAAAAGGTAAAATGCCTAATGTTTCTGAGTTCCCCAGGTCCACAACCAGTTTTTTTTTTTTAAACAAAAATTTGTATCTAACTGATGAACTACTGAATACATTGGCTTCTTGAACAACAAAGGGCTTGAATTATGCAAGTCACTTATACATGGACTTTTTCCCATACAGTACAGTACCATAAATGTATTTCCCTTTTTTTTTTTAAAGATTCTATTTATTTACTTGACAGAGAGAGACACAGCAAGAGAAGGAACACAAGCAGGGGGAGTGGGAGAGGGAGAAGCAGGCTTCCCATTGAGCAGGGAGCCCGATGCGGGGCTCGATCCCAGGACCCTGGGATCATGACCTGAGCTGAAGGCAGATGCTTAACTGACTGAACCACCCAGGTGCCCCTCCCTTTTTTTTTTTTTTTTTTTAAAGATTTTATTTACTTGAGAGAGAGGGAGGGAGCAAGCGAGTGGGGGAGGAGCAGAGAGAGAGGGACAAGCGGACTCCATACTGAGCGCAGCCCTTCCCAGGGCTCAATCCCATGACCCTGAGATCATGACCTGGGCTGAAATCAAGAGTCTGATGGTTAACCGAATGAGCCATCCAGGGGCCACCTATAAATGTATTTTCTTATGATTTTCTTTACATTTTCTTGGGGCCCCTGGCTGGCTCATTCAGTGGAGCATATGACTCTTGATCTTGGGGTCGTTCAGTTCCAGCCCAACATTAGGGGTGGATATTACTTAAAAAAAAATCATAAAAATTTTTTTCTTTATATACAGTATATGATGCATATAACATACAGAATATGTGTTAATCAACTGTTTATAATATCAGTAAGTCTCTGGTCAACAGTAGGCTATCAGTGTTAAGTTATACTCAGATTTTTTACTGTGAAGGGGGTCAGTGCCCCAACCCCCATGTTTTTCAGGTCAACTGTACTATACTTAAAAGTATGAAAAGATCATTATGTTTACGGTGGTTGCAATGAACAATTAACCTGATCACCTTTCTCCTGCAGAACTCAAAATCAATAAAGAGAATCTTGTCAATTTCCCTGAACTTAATGCAATGTAAATAAAATAATGGTTTTAGTTTTAACTTGTTTTTGACTCTAGGATGGCTTTATTTATTTATATTACCTGCCTATCCCCTGGGCATTTGAGTTTGCTTATTCTCCCCTGAAGACTAACTTGGATCTGTTTTCCTAATGCAAATTAATACACCTCTATTTAAAAAAAAAAAAAGATGCATCTTTCTTGTTTGGGGTCTTGGCTGGGGCCTATGTGTCACACATCATAACTTAGATAGGAATGGAAGGCCCAAGGATCCACCATGTTGTCACTAAAAAGACGCTGAACAAGTTTTTTTTGACTTGACAAATCACTGCAGCAACATTTAAAATACATTAACCATCTAGTAATATTCCTATTTGTATTTTATACACAACTTAACTTTTCACTAAAAAAAAATTAAACAACAGTCCAAGCTTTTGTAAGAACTGTATTTAGGAACAACTAATAAAACATCTGGAAATCTGAAGTGGTGGACCATAGGCAGCCCTTTGAATCACTAAAATAATGTAGCTTGTTTGAGGAGGCTGTTAAGGAAAAAGTAACTGGCTTGCTCTTGCTCTGTTGAATCTGACCAGGTTTTGAGGGACATTCTGAAGGGCCAGTTCCCATCAAAGACCACCTACACGTCTGGTATGAAGAGAGATTCTGCCTTGCCAGTCTCAGATGCTGGACACTTAAAAGTTTTTAGTGTTAGATGAGATGCTACTGTTCACAGCCTTTCCATCCATATTTATCAACTTCCCACATTCTCTCTTGAGTGACTTTTCTGATACTGAGTAAGGAATGAAATGTCCAGGAAAATTTTTACTACAATTACACTAAAAGAGTTTTTCTCCAACACAGATTCTGACACAGTGGAAAAGCTCTGTGTTCCGACTATTAGCTCTTCCACACTTGTTCAGATGGTAACACTTCTCGCTGGTGTGAAGTCTTTGGTGCTGGTTAAGAGCTGACTGCTCTCCAAGGCTTTACCATACTTGTCACTTCTATTACAGGGTCTCTCTCCAAGATGGCTTCTCTGTGATGAACTAATCCAGTGTTTGCATATTGTCCCATATCCTCCACATCTGTGAGTCAAATTCAGTGTGAACTGTCTTATCTTCACTGCAGCCTGCACTCTTGACAAAAGCTCTTCCACACTCATCACATTCATAGAGTTTCTCCTCAGTGTGTAGCTCGGATGCTGAATAAGGATGGAGCTCTGAGTGAAACTCATTCCACATTCATCACACTTACGCCATCATGGGTATCTTTCTAGTCTTCCCTGATATTTCTGGACTTATGTAATGAAAGCACTGAGGAATACCTCCATCTAATCTGACAATGGGTCCCTGTTGGCATGTTATTTCTTCAGACTTCTACTTTGGAAGCATCTTCTCCATTTCAACCAAATCATCTGAAAGAGGGGACTGAACATTTCAGCATGACTCACCCACTCACACACACCTTACTCAATTACTTGCTCATTGAACAAGCACTCATTAAAAGTACATGGTAGGGGCACCTGGGTAGCTCAATTGGTTCAGCGTCTGCCTTCAGCTCAGGTCAAGATCTCAGGGTCCCGGGATCGAGCCCCATGTCGTCGGGGAGCCTGCTTCTGCCTCTCCCTTTGCCGCTCCCTCTTCCCCTCCCCCTGCTTGTGCTCTCTCATTCTTGCTCTCTCTCAAATAAATAAATAAATAAAATCTTAAAAAAAAAAAGTACATGCTAAAGGAAAGAAAACAAAATGTCTTATGTAACATAGGTGTGTACTGAGTTTATGACTTAAATTATACTGTGTTATTTTTAAAAGCAAGGGATATGTATGTATACATGTGCTTATGATAAATAAATGATAAAAGGATAAACCACAAAAGTAAAGAGCAAGAAAGGATTATCTATGGGGAAGAGAGGGAACAGAAGGATGGAACAGGAAGAGAACTTCCTTGAAAATATTTTACAGATTTCATATGTAAAACTTTATATAATTTAAAAAAATAAACATTTTAAATATAAAATAAAATAAAAAATCACTCCCTAAACTTGAACAAGTAATGAAACAAACTGAATTTAAATGTGTACCTGTTGGGGCACCTGGGTGGCTCAGTTGTTAGGTGTCTGCCTTCAGCTCAGGTCATGATCCCAGGGTCCTGGGATCGAGCCCCGCATCGGGCTCCCTGCCCTGCGGGAAGCCTGCTTCTCCCTCTCCCACTCCCCCTGCTTGTGTTCCCTCTCTCGCTGTGTCTCTCTCTGTCAAATAAATAAATAAACCTTAAAAGAAAAAAAAAGAACTATAAATGTGTACCTGTTGGTAGCATAAGCACACAGAAGAGGAATTATTTCTAATCCCAAAGATCTATAACTTAAGGACAAAAAGAATGGGAAAACACAGGCACAACCATGAAGCTGTTTATAATAATCATACTTGTTGATGGTGGTGCTAATATTTTTATTGAGGCTATTGTGTATATATTGTGGGATAAAGCAAATGAGTATTTGGTACTCTATTATTCCTGGTGTCTTTGAGAATTCTCCAAAAGGAGATACAGATGAAAGACAGATTAAGACCCTGAAATACTGAATTTGAATTGGAACTATCAATATGAATTCACAATACATAGCTTATCTTAAATTTTTCCTAGCTTTGAGCACTGACAAGGCCTAGGAACAATGTCCAATAAAGCCGTGAACACTCCTAGTACCTTATTTTTGGTCTTCAAATACCGTTTCCCACTAAACAGAATCAAGGGGTCTTGGAAAAATGAATGATCCCAGGAGTGGGAAGGAATTAGAAGATGAGTCTGTACCTCTTGTTATACCAGACAGCAAGAAAGCTATTAAAATGCCTAGACTCATGTCATAAATAGAGGAGTCAAACTCAACAGGCTCCTACTGCCCAAAGATGAGACAAATGAGCTTCAATAAGGGATAGTTAAGTACAATGGATTGAAAAATATGAAATAGGTTTAAATCCACGAGTTCTAAATGATACCATTATTAATAATAACAACTGGCCACCGTTTTAGAGAATGACAGCAAAATGAATTCATCATTTTGAAACCGATTTTTAAAAATAGGTAGTGGGAGGGCAACCTGGGTGGCTCAGTCAGTTAAGCCTCTGCCTTCAGCTCAGGTCATGATCCCAGGGTCCTGGGATCGAGTCCCACATTGGGCTCTCTGCTCAGTGGGGAGTCTGCTCCTCCCTTTCCCTCAGCCCCTCCACCCCGCTTGTGTGCTTTGTCAAATAAATAAAATCTTAAAAAAAAAAAAAGGTAGTGGGGAGGGAGTTAATCAATTACCTTGCTTCTTCTATAAGAACCACTGGGTAACCAAGTAGGAAGACAGGGGAAGTATCTCTTTATATAAATATTCTAGCTTTGTTAAACGAAGGATGACAGAATAAGAATACCGACATTCTGGATAGGTACTGAGGATCGAGAGCTGCTAACATCACAAAAAAAGAGACAACCAGATGTTGTAAACTCCTGATAGAACACACCACCTTGCCAAGTTAAACTTACCTTGTTCCCAAACCTTAAACTTGATTTTGATCAAGCCCCCAGTTTACTGCAAATTATAGAAAATGGAGAGGACAACAGAAGACATTATACTACAGAACCAGATGCAGATGGCAAAGTCCTCACTATGGGACTCTGAGAAACAGCCTGGTGTGTTTAGTTTTTTTTTTTTTTAATTATTTAAAGTAATCTCTACCCAAAAGGTGTGGCTCGAACTCATGACCCTGAGATCGAGTCGCAGGCTCCTCTGACTGAGCCAGCTGGGTGCCCCCAACCTGATGTTTTGTTTTTTAAAGATTTTATTTATTTATTTGGCAGAGAGAGATACAGCAAGAGAGGGAACACAACAAACAGGGGGAGAGGGAGAGGGAGAAGCAGGCTTCCCGCCGAGCAGGGAGCCCGATGCGGGGCTTGATCCCAGGACCCCGGGATCATGACCTGAGCCAAAGGCAGACGCTTAACGACTGAGCCATCCAGGCACCCCTTGTTTTGTTTTGAAGATTTTTAATTTATTCACTTGAGAGAGAGAGAGACAGAAAGAGCACAAGCAGGGGGAGCAGCAGAGGGAGAGGGAGAAGCAGACTCCTTGCCAAGCTGGGAGCCCAACGGGGCTCTATCCCAGGACCTGGAGATCATGACCTGAGCCAAAGGCAGATGCTCAACCATCTGAGCCACCCCGGCGCCCCCCAGCCTGATGTTTTTAGTTAATTGCAAGTGGGGAGATAAAAAGGAAGAGGGATCTATATATTAAGAGAAACTTAAGAGATATATCAATGGATCAAAATGTGTTTTCTTCTTGGGATCCCAATTCAAACAAGCTAAAACAAAAGAAATTTAAAAATTCATAACATCTTTGAGACAACTGGAAATTTGGTACAATTTTTTTAGGTGTGATAATACTATTATGGTTACATTAAAGAAATTCCTGTCTTCTAGTCATGACTCTAAGAATTCATCTTTTGAGCTACATATTGAAATATTTACATTTGAAAGATTATATCTGAGATATACTTCAAAATTATATGGAAAAAATAACATGGAAATGAGTAGTTATGAGACAAGATAGTCATGATTTGATAATGTTGAAACTGGGTGGCAGGTTCATGGAGATTCATTATACAGTTCTTTTATATAGATTTGTACTTTTTCAGAATAAAAAGTAAAAAAAGATAAGTTTGTGGCTTTCAGTTGGTAGTATGTAAAAAAAAGAAAAAAGAAAAAAGAAGTAACTTACAAACCCTCCTAGTTAAAAGATAGCTTTTTCTGTAGGAACCGCCAGGCTGAGAGAAGCATGGCCCTCTCCTCTCCACCCCCATGGTGTGTGCTTGTCACTGATATCCATGTACTCTGAAAAGGGGGAGTCATCTGGCAAAAATGTGACTTTGCTTACTGTGTTCAAGGCTCCCATTCGACCTGATATTGTGAACTCTGTTCACACCAACTTGTGCAAAAACAACAGATGACTCTATGCTGTCAGTGAATTAGCAGGTCATCAAACCAGTGCTGAGTCTTGGGGTACTGGCCAAGCCGTGGCTCAAATTCCCAGGGTACAAGATGATGGAACTTGCCGTTGTGGCCAGGGTGCTTTTGCAAATATGTGTCACGGGGACTGCACATTTGCACCAACCAAAACAACACAGAAGCGATATTCCCTCTGCTCTGCCCTGGCTGCATGAGCCTTTCCAGTGCTGGCCATGTCTACAGATCATCGCACTGAGGGACTTCCTGAACTTCCTTTGTTGATTGAAGATAAAGTTAGTTGAGGTCTTAAGAAATTTAAAGCCTGGGGCGCCTGGGTGGCTCAGTCGGTTAAGCAGCCGACTCTTGATCTGGGCTCAGGGCATGATCTCAGGGTCCTAGGATGAAGCCCTGTGTTGGGCTCTGCGCTCGGCGGGGAGTCTGCTTGAAGATTCTCTCCCTCTGCCCATCCACCCCCCACCCCCACTCTCCGTCTGTCTCTCAAACAAATCTTAAAAAAAAAAAAAAAAGAAAGAAACTTAAAGTCGGGAATCCACTGAAAAACCTGAGAATCACGTTGAAGCTAAACCTGTATGCAAAGATCATGTGCTAGAAGACCATTCTTCACCAGGCCAAGAATCACAAGCTCCGGATGGATAAGGCGGCAGCAGCCTTAGAAGCCAAATCAGATGAGAAGGTGGTTCCAGGCAAGAAGCCCATGGTATGGAAGAAAGGAAAGAAGGCTACTCGTGTTCAGAAGCAGAAGAAACCTTTGGTGGGAAAAAAGGCCACAGATACCCAGAAGCCAGCAGCTGAGAAGAAGCCTGTAGGAAAGAAACCCACCACGGAAGACAAGAAGTCTGCTGCATAAGCTTGAAATTTGTTTGTTCCATAAAGGTTGAATCATTTTGGACAGCTGATTTTGAATAAAGACCTGAATAAAGGTAAAAAAAAAGTAATTTGATAGCCATACAATGAAACCTGTATCAGCTGTATGTATGCATTACATGTAACTCTTGGAAATGAGTCCAGAACGTAATATGAAATTTAAGAGTAGTGGCAGTTGATATGTTCAGTATGATTATATTTGGGCATACATAAAAATTGTAAATTTTGTTTCCTATACTAATTTTTTTAAAATGCACGTTTAAAATTTTCTCTATTGCACGTGGCTTTTGAATCATCTTCCATTGGCTTCAATGTAGAAGAATGTTTTCCCGCCTTTGGGTAAGAGGTCAGGGTCACGGAAGTTGGTAGTATTGAGTTAGAATGGAGAAACTGAACCATTCAATAGGAGCAGGATTTTCAACAGTTTTAGTGCAAAGAAGTGAAGGAAGAATCACAAGGTTAAAATGATGTGCTTAGAGAAACAGGTTAAAGGTGGAACAAAAGATCAAGGAAAGGTAGGCAAAAATTTTAGTGATGAGGTTCATTTGGAAAAACACAAGAAGACATTTCCTATCTTTTCCCCCGGTGGAATCTCCTCACCTTTCTCCTGAACGGAGGCAGCTCCCAAGGTTCAGAATTGAGCTAACCCATTCTGGCTGGAGCTGGACCCCCAGTGAGTCCTCTGCTGCTGCCATATAAAGCTGTCTGCCCCTGGGACCCTTCCTGTCCCTGTAGGAGGATGAGGATCCAGGGACAATGAGATAAATTTGACCAGGGTGATATATGCGGAGAGTTCTAGAGCTTCGATCCCAATATTAATGGCGAACATAGAAAAGCTGGACAGAAAGCAGAGTTTCCCTTGACCTGCGAGGACAGGGATTAAAGGATAGGGAGGGGAACGCAACTCTGGCCAGTGCATCTTGGCCATTTCCCTCACTACATGTGAGAGGAGATCTCAACTCTCTTACCTCTCTCTGGACAGAATACCTGCCTTCTGATGATGGATCATTTCTTCCTTATCTCACCTTTCCTCAGGGATTATCTAGCTTCCTCGACAAGCCCTCCCAGTCCAGGAACCGCGTCCTCCCTATACTCTGGGCTGCTCCCGCACCCGGGCCTGCACCTCCTCGGGCAGGATGGTCAGGAACACTCCAGCACCAGCAGCTCTACGATCTGTTCCTTGTTGTGCGTCTCTGGCCTCAGCCACCGACGGCAGAGCGCCTGGAGCTGGACTTCTGAGGCCCAAGGGAGTCCTCCCAGCAGAACTGCCTTAAGTTTTGTCTGAAGAACTCCTGTCAGAAGCACCATTTCTGTGCAGGCTAGATTCTATAACTAGTTGACATCCCTTCTGTTCTGCAGCCCGAAAGGGCTGGACTGAATCCATTCCTGGGCAAAACAGCTCAGAAGACTGGCTCACTACAACAGTAGGGGGAGCTTAAGGCTCATGATAATACCTAACACATCACTGTTAACAGAGATGAACTCCAAACTAGAAACATATTTAGTCAGAGTGAATCGCTGTCATCAGGCCAATGATTTTAAGGTAAAGATGCTCTGTAAAAGATAAAACAAGCACAAGATATCATTAGACTAATGTCAAAAAATTAAAAGACAATTCAGTCACTTTAGGATTAAAGAACAATACTAGTGGCTTTTAGATCTAGAAACTTCAGTGACATATTCAGATAATGTGAAATATTCAGATAATGAAGAAAATGCAAACAACTTTGCCTGCTTAAATTTGCATGTCACAGATTTAGTCAGTTATATTTACAAATCAACTGCTAGATACTTTCAAAGGCATCTTTAGTTTCAGAAAAGAAGAGTGTGCGTGTCAGTCAAATGTGTCCCACATTTGAGTCAGGGGGCCCAAGTCAATTAACCAAGGCCTGCTTTGTACACAAACCCAGTGAGTATTTTTCAGTCCTTTGCTTACCAGATGCCCCTGCAGCACCTAACACTGCTGGCCACTCCCAGTCTTATAAGAACTACAATCCTCTGGCTGTTTTCCATGAGTTGGTTTCTGTAAAGTGCTTAGACCAATGCCTGGCACTCAGGAAGTATTATATAAGGGCTTGTCAAATAGCTCATTCTTTTTTTTTTTTTTTTTTTATACACAAAGACAATTATTTAAGACCTTTATTAACGGGTGCTTGCCGTTTGTTGATTTTTTTGAAAAAATCAGTTGTAAACTTTTTATTACAAATTAAAAATGAGGTTCTTAAAAATCTCAACTTGAGGGGCGCCTGGGTGGCTCAGTTGGTTGAGCAAATGCCTTCGGCTCAGGTCATGATCCTGGAGTCCCGGGATCGAGTCCCGCATCGGGCTCCCTGCTCGGCAGGGAGTCTGCTTCTCCCTCTGGCCCTCCCCCCTCTCATGCTCTCTCTCTCTCATTCTCTCTCGCAAATAAATAAATAAAATCTTTAAAAAAAAAAAATCTCAACTTGACCAGATATGAAACAATTTAAAACCTTTAAAGGTGTATTGAGAAAAACCAGGTTTTTTTAAAAAAAAAACACGTTTGTCATTACCAAAAAGAGACGTCTTTAGGTAAAAATAGTAAAAACCCCATGCTGCATAGATAATGCAGATGGTTCTATTTATCTGGGCAGTGGGCAAAAAGCAAGCACTTAAGGTCTTCGGCTCCAATCTCTTGTCCATTTCTTATTGCTGGAATTTCATCCTCATTTCTCCGTGTTGGATGACTAAACCGGACGACGGTAGAGACGCTAAGCCGGCATTTGCTCAGCCCCGCCCTGCTCAGCCTCGGAGCGGACGAATTCTCGGCTGGTGGATCGGCTGCGTCTGTCTCTTTGCCATCTTGTGGTTTGGGGTTTTCTGGGCGTCTGCGTCGGCAGTTGAAGTTGCGGCGGTACCGACGTTGAGGTGGCTGCTGACCTTGGGTCTCGTCTCCTTGATTTTCCTTATCTTCCTCATTGCCGTCCTCGCCAGGCCGTCTTCGGCGAGGAGGACCCCTGCGGAGTCGTGGTCTCTAACCGCGACACATACTCTGTCTCACGGGTCTACCTTGCTCTCCTGCACCCTGGTTGTCAGCACCTTGCATCACTTCTCCCTGCCCAGGAGGGCTGGGATCCTGTGGTCGACGCCCATAGGGTCTCCGCATGTAGTAAGTGGGAACCGTCGCCTGCGGGAGGGCCGGCGCGGTTGGGCCTGGCCTTCGGGGGCACTTCCCGATGCCTCGTTCTTTCCCCCACTCTCCCTCTTCCGGTAATTCTGCTGGGAATTGCGTGGAGGACCCCTGCGACGTGGGCCGCGTCTCTAATGGTTACGGTCTGCTGCGCATTTACTGCCTTGCACTGGGACGCCACCAGGGCCTGTCGCATTTGCTGCCCCGCACCCTTTTCCCCTTCAGCCACATCAAACTCACAGTCTCTCCATCCCCCGCACTGCGAAGGTACTTCCTGGGGTTCTTCTTCTTCATGGAGTCTGGTGCACAAATCCATCTTCCTGGGTGTCATTCCTGTTGATGAAACCGGATCCGTTTCCTACATTGAACCATTTTCACTGTTCCCAAAACCTTCGTTGCGAGGACCTTCTCGTCCCCGCCCGCAGGCGCCGCCGACGTGAGGCCGCCCGGGCCGCCGCCCCCTGCGCCGCCGCCCGTGGTGCCGGGCTTGGTGTCGGCCGCGCTGAGGGCGGGGGCGGCTGCTGGGTCTCGGCCTCGCTGCTCGTGGTTGCGGTGACGGTGACTGGGGCCGGCGGCGGCAGCTGCGGCTCCCCCCGGGGTGTGATGGTAACCAGGCCGCCGGCGGCGGCGGGGCTGCTCAGGGCTCGCTGGGGTCCGCTCTCCGCTCCCGCTCGAACTCCAAGTAGCTCACTCTTAAGTCTACATTGTGGCTCTTCTTCAGCTTGCCAAGAAATGTCTGGTTACCCTAAGTTGAGACCCAGCCTTCTTCTCATTCCACATTCATCCTGGGCAACCTTGTCCATTCAGCAGCATGAGACCTGAGATGCTGTCACCTAAGAACTCCTAAATCTGATTCTCTTACCCCAGTCTTGCTTTGGAGCTCCGGACCATTATCGCCCAGTAGTGTATCTCAACACCACCAAAAATTAACTCCCCATTTTCCCCTC